GCAGGTTCATCTCTTGTGGTATCAAGAGAGGTGGTTTCTAAACTTTTACAAATTGTTTCTCTGTGATTGTAATTTGTAATTGTTTTGTGAGTAGTAAATTGTTTATCTTATTTTGAGATAAACGACTGGACGTAGGATTGGTAAGATCCGAACCAGGATAAAATCATCTGTGCAAATTTCTCTCAACCTTACTCTTGTTATTAATTTATATTATATGCTTAGTAAGTAAAACTGAGTAGAAATTAAAAGGCACACGTTCGTATTAAAAACCCTCTTGGTTTGTTATTCCACGCTAACCATTCCGCTGCAGCCGCTTTGTGTGTGCGTCTACTGTGTACATTTTTTCTTTGGTCCACAAGAGAGGTTGGTCATGATAAATATTTCATTTTAATTAATATGTATTGGAATATGTTTGGTTGTTGTATGTTTGGTTGTTGTCCTGTGCATTTTTTATGTTTGGTTGCTTGTGCGTCTTCTGTGTGTAGAGGAAGAAGATAACTGGCTAGGCTTCAACGAATGTGGCTATCCGTTTGGCCTTGAACGGATGTCGATATCCGTCTACGGATATTGACATCCGTTTAAGACTCCATCGAGTACTCACATCCGTTACAGTGATAGGCTTATATATTCAAAAAACCTGTGAAGAACGCGGACCACCTTCAACGACGAGACGAAGCTCTCCCACCCCTGCACCTTCTTTTTCTTGCATCACTCCAAAGCTTTTTTGCTATTTCCTCTAATCACTTGAGATCCTTCTTGCACCACGACAAATCAATGCTATCTCCAACCAAACACACCACAATATCCCTACGCTACACCATCATAGTTTCAATAAACAAAAATTAGAGGGAGAAAAATATCCAAAGGATTTCATTCAACGGAATCAATGGACTATTGTGGAAGTGCATTGATACAGTGGTGGAACCATTGACGAAAGTGGTTGGTTGTTAGGTAAAAAAATAAAAACAGAAATTAAATATTATTGAGGACAAAAAGGGAATAGGGAGGTGGAAGGAGTGATGAGTGGTGGTGGAGGAAACAACTCTCTCTAAATTGTTGTTGGCCCAATTCTTAAATGAGACATTAATGCCATAATCTTGATTAACAAAGTAGTTTTGCATAATTAGATGATTATCAGTTGCTAAGTGAGGTAATTTATAATTAAAGGGAAGTCGAAATGCTTTATCGTGTCATAGTTGTATTGTTCATAAAATAATAAAATGTAATAGAACTAAGTAAAGCAACATGTCATGAACAAATTGAACTGAAAGGAAGAAAAGTGATGGAAAGGATAAATAAGGATGTGGGTGAAGGTGGAAGATAGGAGATAAAAGGTAAAAGAAACTCTCTCATTAAAAAAAAATTGGAGAAGAAAAATTCATGCAGATTGTCCAATATAAAAAAAAAAAGAATACACCTATTATTTATGCAACATCTCCTTTGACAATGTTTGTTTCGTCCTTTTTTTTCTAATTTATTTTTATGTTTTCATCTCTTAATTTTTTTCTACAACATCTTTTGATAAAACCTAAATTAACACTTAAAATGGTACATATAAAATGAAAGATGTATAGGTAATATTAAATACTTTTAAAATATTATGTAATTACTTGAAGCATCAAGAATTTAGTGGTAGAACTAGTATCTTAAGAATGTAATAGAATTATGAGGCATTAATCACCATGATGTTGTGTTCTTACGACAGGAAGATTAATGAATAGACCCAATTTTGTAATATCGCATGTAGCATCCCTGTGGTACAAATTAAATGAAAACTAAAATAACATCAGATGGTGTTAGAGAGATAAATCCTAACTGCATTATGCTAAGTGAATTAATTTAGTATGTTGCAAAATTTTAGTAATCTTTCTTGGCCCTTGAAAAGGGACAATTTCCTTTATCCTTTTGTTCAGGGTGCCATGGATGGCCCTACTCCCTCACACCCACAAACCTTTAAGCTGTGAAAATAATAAATGCAATATTAAAACGCTTTCTAGCATTTCAAACGTACTGTATTCTTGTTAAAAATCGGAAAAAAGTAAAAGATGATAAACAAGTTATTTTAAATATATTTTTTCCTATTTTTATTTACTTTTATTCTATAGATTATGAGCCACTTGTTAAAATTATGTATTACAAAAATAAAAAATATCAAAAATAGAAATAGAAAATAGCTTTCTTATACGGTTCTGAAAAGTCGCCCTATCATTGTACTGGATTAATGGTTAGACAGATAGATTACTGACCAATACAGCTTTGAAAAAATATATATTATATATAGTTAACCCAATTTGACAAATCTAATCAAATTTAAAGCTTAATACATAATAAAATAATAACGATAAATGAAATAGTGAATAAAGTTTAAAAAATTGGAATTTGATAGCTCAAATTTAAGATATTATTTTGAAATAACTAATATTCAAAATAAAGTTTTAATATTAGCAAAGATCCATATATAAAAACTAAAAACAAATTAAGAGACACATATGCACACACTAAAAAGAATCGGACCAATTCAATCGTTTTTAGAGTGTTGCTCCCTCCACCACCATCAAATCCTCCCTACACCACCCCATACCTAATTTGTCCTTCCAATTTCGTCTCTAACAGATATCAACATCTGTTTCACCTTCAACGGATGTTGATATCCGTCAACGGATATGACCACCTAAAAACTAAAAAAAAAAAACGTAACGGAACGGATGTGACACATCCGTTTAACTAATAATAATATAAAAGTATTATAATAATTAATTAAATAATAATATATAAATTAAATTAATTATTATTATTTTACTAAATAAAATAAAACTAATTTATTTATAATTATATAATAAATTTTTTAAGAAATTAAATAATATTTATATATTAATTTAAAATATAATAAATTAAATAAACTAAAAAAAAACTTACAGATGTGACACATCGTTTATTTAATAACATAATTTTTTTATAATAATTAATTAAATAATAATATATAAATTAAATTAATAATAATAATTTTACTAAATAAAATAAAACTAATGTATATATAATTATATAATAATTTTTTTAAAAAAATAAATAATATTTATATACTAATTTAAAATATAATAAATTAATAAAAAAAATTTACCAATATGTTTATAATAAATAATTAAATAATAATATGTAAATTAAATTAATAATTATTATTTTATTAAATAAAATAAAACTAGATTGTATATAATTATATAATAAATTTTAAAAAAATTAAATAATATTTATATATTAATTTAAAATATAATAAATTAATATAAAAAAAAATTCAACGGATGTGCACATCATGTGGTACATCCGTTGAAGAAAAGAGGTGAGGTGTAAGATATTTTAAATATAAAAGATAGTTTTAGAATTTAAAAAAAATATGGTGGTGCAGAGAACAATGTGAAGTGGTATAGAGAGTAACCTTTCGTTTTTATTGATCTAGCCAGATTCAACTGAAACCCGTGACGGTTATTGCTTCCTACACCTCATCACATTTTTTCTTCCACCCATCAAAATTCCTTCCGAAAAATAAATTCGTAATATAGGAGCAGGTAATTGTTTTTTTTTTTCAGAAATTTTTTTTGGGAAGTGATAGGGTGCTGGAAGAATTTTGATATGGTGTAGGAAACAATTGCACGTAAATTGGGTCCCAGTTTGATAAGCCCAGTTTTTACAATTTTAATTTTAAACCCATTCCCAAAGACTTTCAAATTACCACATTTGGAAGCTTCTTACTCCACATTTTTTCTTCCTGCACTCCCAAATTTTCTTATATTTCTAAAAATACCCTTATCAACTTTTAGGCTTTGACTTTGACTAGGATTTAAAATCCTTGAACCCTTCAACATTGCCACTCCACCCCCATTTGTGTCTCATCATTCATCTGTATCTCCTTCCTCCTATTTGAGTCTCAACCTTCCTCTTCTCATTTTCTTTAGTCCAAGATCAATAAGAAAACATTTAAAAAGATTTCAAAATTTGAAAAAATTTAAAACCAAATTTCCAAATCTTGATTTCAAAATTTTCATGCAATTCAGAAAAATCTAAAACTAAATTTCAAAATTCAAAATTAGATTTTGAAATTCAAGAAATTCAAAAGCCAAAATTTAGAAATTTAGAAAAATCAAAATCAGATTTCGGAATCAGAATTTCAAAAATCCAAACCGGATTCTAAAATTTGAGAAAATCCAAAACCAAATTTAAAAATCCAAAAAATCTAAAACTAAATATGAAAACCTGAAAAATTTCAAAATTGAATTTCAAAATCCTAAAAACAAAATCAAATTTTGAAATCTGTAAAAATTCATAAACAAATTTCAAAATCAAAATTATAAAATTCAAGAACCAGATATTGAAATTTGAAAAATAAAATCCAAAAATGGATTTCAAAATAAAATAAAAAATCCAAAATCAAATAACGAAATCCTGAAATATATAGGATTGCATTTTGAAATCTAAGAAAATGTAGAACCATATTTTGAAATAGGAAAAAGTTCAGAACCAAAAATCCAAAGTCAGATTTCAAAATAAAAAAACTTCCAAAATCAAATTTTAAAATCCAAAAGATTCAGAACCCCGACTTCAAAATCCAAGTAGATCCAAAACTGAATTTCCGTATCAGAATTTTTGAAAATCCAGAAAAATTTAAAATCAAAAAAATCCAAAACCAAATTTCAAAATCCAAAAAAATCCAAAATTATATTTCAGAATCTGAAAAATCGAAAAACGAATTTCAAAATTTAGGAAACTTCATAATCAAATTTAATAAAAATATATGTATATAATCTGATAATGTAATAATGAACATCACAGTAAAATTTGGAGGTGGAGGAAGAATGCCCCCCAGATTTTACTTATCTCCAGGAAGGGTTACCATGTTCATGGACCAAAAATAAAAAGTGAACGATAGGCCTTCTCTGTTTAATTAATTAAGCAAACGATCTCAACCATTTATCAGAAAAAAAAGAGTCAAACAAATCTATAATGTGTCATTGATAATATATTTTTTTCCCTATTACTTTAGAGGTTACTTTAAAGAAGTCAGAAACCTAGAATTATTGTTAACAACTAGGTCTAGATGTCAATCCTAACGCTAGACCAAATGGTATGATATAAAGTGAAACAATTGTTTTTTGTCTAAAACTTATTTGGCATGAGCTTCTGTTTTCAATACATTATTTATGTTGTATAGTCGCTGGCTACAGTTAAGATTCATCCCTGTGGCAACTTACAAGCATCTTTGTCATCTTTTGGTTTAAATTTGCCAAGTTTCTCAGCAATAGTTCTGCAACGACACTGATTTCCAGGCCGCACCACATCCCCGTAAACAGCCATCTCAATTATATCAAGCTCCTTATCTGCTAATTGATCAAAAGTAGAATATTGAGCTAAGAAACATGATTGATTATGCAAAGATTTGAGCACTACACAATTTACTTGAACACTATACCTATAAGTAATTGTGAAATAGACGTAAAATTTCAATGAACATGTCAATAATTGATCAGGCCTAGATCTGTTAGAAAAATAGAGGAGATTTTATTACATTTGGGACACGAAAAAGATGGATTGATTTTATTTGTTTATCTTAGAGTGGTTTTAGTTATTATAGACTTTTCATGTAAACTCACTCCCTTTTATCTCCAGCATCCCCCTTAGTTAGAAAATTCTTAACACATTTTCTGCATACCAAGTCATTTCTTAATCTTGTAAATTCTTTAACCATGAGGAGCTTAATGAAAATGAAATATTGTGTCTTCAGATGAACTAGCTCCCCTTTTCCTCATCAATTTTTTTCTTAAACTTGAATGTCCACTGACCCTTCAACTGGTTATTTGTCTAACCAATTCCATCAATTGGTCTACGATCATCAATTCTAATGTCCTTTGACCCTTCAACTGCACAAACCACAACATCAAATTTTATGGTAGATGAATGAATAATCTTCTATACCGCCCGCAGCCCATCTTCCACATTCTCTCCATAATTCATAATTTGATTTACAATCATTACACCTTATGTGTTAAAATAAGAAATTGATTCATCTCCTTCACTCGTAAGATTCAAACCCTCCATGAGAATGTAGGCACACTTTACCTTGTCATTCAAAAGGAGTTTTTTCAAAATCTCTCAAGCTTGCTTGGGGGTGAATGCATTAGACATCTCAAAACATGATGTCCTCAAAACACTTGATAGGAATGGTAAGTGTTTGCTGATCCTTCTTCTTTATCTTAACAAAGCCTCACTCTCATTTGGAGACAAAGTATTCTCAATTTCCTGTTCGGTATAGCAGGGCCTCATCTGACCGCACCAATTGCCATAACTCATTGGTAAATGAGCAACATTGAACCAAGTTCACAGATTTTGTTTGTCATCTATCAACTCACTAAGTGCATCTCTCAATTATCAAAGCTAAGCTCTCAACACACTCTGTTAGAAAACTAGATAGGAGGACTAGAAAATAAAGGAGATTAATATTATAATTTGGCATACTAGCGTGCATGGATAGGAACTCTATTTATAATAAGATTAACCAAAACTATTACTGAATTCTAGACACGCCAAATATCACAATATCAAGAACCCTTCGGATACCTGATAGTTTTACATAAAATAATACTGCTTGATTTATATAATCACGCCCTTTTTATCTTTTCACAACCCTTCATTTTTTACTATTATTTCAAATAAATATCAACAACAAAAAAAGGTCCTAAGTGTAATGTAACAACAATTCTTTTAACAGGATACAGTGAATAAACTACCCATAACAATATTAAGTCCAGGATAGTGGACTGCCAATCAATCCACTTAAGATCAATCTAAAAATGTATTGCCAACTAATTTTGGAGATCTTCAGAATCAGGGTGACTAATTTAAGATAACTAGAACGAAACATTCTTAATTGATTCAATTAAAATGAAGCATTGGCTGAACTAAGAAATTCACGTAAAAAAAATGAAAGGAAACTAAGACATGAATAGAGAATTTCATTTAACCGCTTTCATTATTTTTTACAAAGGTGAAGCAATCCATAACTCATAATGTGTAGAGTCCAAAAAGTGCCGGCAAAAGCTTCTAGTGATGAAATTGAAGGACATGAATGTGTACAGCATTTAGAAATCCCAATCCGTGGAACCAAGACACGTTAAAAAATTGTGCAGATACTCTTCAATGATGCAAGCTATAAATGAAAAAGCCCACAATTGAAAGAATCACAACTGATTACCTACAACTTAGGGTTGTTTAATGTTGAAGAGATTGAGGTTCTAACTTTACTAAGGTGACTGAGTTCGAAATAGGAATTGTGATTTTCCGTCCTAAAAATAATTCTATCATTTGTTTTCTTTCCCACGATGAAACAAAGATGAATAAAGGAATCCTCAACCAGGGTGGGTATTGCATAATAAAGGATAAAGAACAGAGTGAAATGCAGAGATAGACCAAAACACAGAAGCAGGCATACCAGTAAAATTAACCTCACAAGAGTAGTCATTTCAATTGATTAGATCAATGTCCATATTTGTCCGATTTGAGTCCTGTATACCTCTTTGATTGAAGTATTTGACAATATCTGCTGTGGACTCACCACCTACACCGCAACATCACGAGACAATTAGATAAATATCAAATTACCAAATAGCAAGAATAGAATACGGAAATGAAGAAGAAATGAATGGACTAAAAATAGAATGAAACCTTTGGAGAAGGGGATGATGTGATCGTACTCGTAGCAGAGGCAGCCGATGCAGTTGTAGAAACGTTTGCAGACAATGTTACCCGCGGCGTCTTTGCGCCACCTCTCAGGGTGACGGCCGGGGACAATATCAGCCTTGGACCAACAGAGGGTCTTGGCGTTTGAGTCGAAAAACCTGGGTCTTTTCTCGCCGTCGCCACGAGAACGAGGCGGAGAAGAACTCATCCTCCTCCTCGCTCTACACTACAGGGAGCAGGGAAAAAGGAGCAACAGCTGAACAAGAAGGATCTATGTTTTTATTTCTGTTTTAAATAATGACATGAATCTCTAAATATCTAATAAAAATATCATTGGTTAAAATAAAAAAATATATCTATAACTTATTTTTTCCACAATTATTATTCTTATTTATCTTTTATAATAGATTATTTATTAAATTTTTAAAAGTTAATAGATCATTTTATTTATTTATATAAAACTATCCAACCATTTCTTTCCTCTGTTTTTTTCATTTATTTCCACTAATTTTTGTTCTTCATTTATTTGTACTCTCACAGTACTCTGTATAAACCATTTTTATTGTAAAATAAACAACTTATTCCTTTAGTATTGGTAACTTTTTTTAAAGTCTTATTTAAATTTCTTTAACAAAAATTTAAATAAGACCTTATTCACTTATGGATTTTGAAATAACATTTTTTTTTGATTAGTAGTTGAATGAATTTTGGAGGGTAAATAGATTGATTTGGAGTAAATTTTTTAATATGTCACTCAATCAAATCCTACACTAATTATCAATCAATCTTTTACTTCGAAATCATTCTCACTTACCTCCAAATTGACTCAAATAACCAAAAAACTTTATTTTCCAATCCTCAAATCCCCTCAATTACTCTCCCTCAAATCCACTCAAGTGAACAAAGCCAAAGTATACAATCTCCAAAAACAATAAATCTTTCTACTATAATTAAAATCAATTGTCTAAAATAATATGAAAAATCTCCAACTCTGATCTCGTCCTTTTATACATAAGATGAAATATTTGTAATGTCATTTGTTCTCATAAAATAAGATGAATTGGATATGCACAACCAAGTAAGGATGAGTTTAAGATAAAAACATCAAAACATAAATTACAACATATTTATTTCAATCATGGTATCAAACTCTTGGAGTTACTCGTAGTTTACATTCCCAAACATGGCTTCCGAGTTAACTCGAAAGTAAATTTGTTTTTTGCGTAAAATTGATAGAATCGACGGTGAAACCGGTAAGATCGTATAAGATCGCGAGTTTGGATGTATTCTGCGAACTTGAAAGTTATCTATTTAATGAAATCCATCACAAATTAATGACAATAATTCATGTATTTATGTTTTTACAATATTTATTTTTATGAACAATAAACTATATTTATTATATTTAAAGTTATATATTTTGTAAACTTATTTGAAATTTAGTATTATTTATATAATTCTTTTCATCTGAAGTAAACTCTTACGAGTTTACGAGTCGAGTTTACATAAACTCTCGAATTTGATAACCTTGATTTTAATCATTAAGTCAATACTATAAATCTATCACGTGGATCAAATTTAATTTATAGTAAAACTATAATGACCACTTTAATTCCTAACCATGCTTTCCCTCGAAAGAAATCCTTCCTACTCCACAATTTCTACACAAGTGTGTCATACTCCACAATTTCTACACAAGTGTGTCATCTAAAGGCAACTCATGACAATACTACTATCTATATAATTGTATAGAAATGGAAAAAGAATAATGTATATACAAATATCTACGAATAAAATCCGCTATAAACAGGTTCGGTGCAAGTATTATACTATAGACCTGCGGATACCCGCTACCCATTAAAATAAAAATAAAAATTTAATTTATATTTTCTTAAATTAAATTTACTTAAAAAATAATTATCACTGTATTCACTTATATTTATAATTTACTATAATTTAATAATTTCATTATATTATTTTTATATATTTTTTATATTTTTATTTAAATTCAATTTTAAATGTAATAAAATATCTTTTTTTTTTAAGATTTGGGGTATTTGCTACCATGAATTTTAAAATACATGCGATTTTTGTTTAATTTAAGCAGGTACCGGTGGGTACGTGGGTTGCAAGTTGGGTTTTCCAATTTAAAAAACAGGTCGGATTGCAGTTATTCACTATCTATGCCCGGCCCAACCCGCTGTCATCTTCCATACTCATTCGCACCAATCATATTAACCAAAATAGAATGATTTGAGTCGTCCTCCACCGTAGTTTTGAACCTATCTCCTACACTCAAGGACTTATGAGTAAAACTTCGATGTTGCTCACATAAGGTATTATACTCAGCACGAGCTGAAACCTGTAAGATATTCATCCCTTTCTACTCCCTCAAAAAGAGAAAAGGCAAACACTCTCAAATTTACACCTTCCACAACTGTCTCCTTAAAGACGACGAGAAATCCATCTTTCTAACCATCTTACAAAAGGAAAGGTAACAACAAACAAAAAAAA